ATGTGATAGATGTGTTTAAAAAATGAATTTGCATATTAGGATTGTCAGAGGCTTTTGGGGAAATTAATGAGGTTCTCAAATACTATAAAAAAGGACCATCTTTTCATAAAAGGTGATACGATGTCATTTATCATGACACCATATATTTTTGTTAAAAAATTAGCACTGAAAATAGTTTTAATTTTAAGAATTTGTGTATTTTTCCATTATGATAAAAATTGTTTTGAATTAAAATGACACCCTTGCTTAATTTTTAATTTTGTTTTTAAGGAAAAAAAGTGAATTTTTTTCATAATTTATTCTGAAGTATTGGAACGTGGGTATATCAAGTCAGACCTTTTGCAGGAACCAGAAACTATGCTAGGTGCATGAAGCAGAGTGTTTACTGTAAAATCAGGTGTTTTATGGGAAGTTTGGAAGGTCTGAAGCATCTATGTCTAAGGTGACACTTTTCAAAGAAATCAAATACAACTGGATTATCAGGGGAGTTAAAACTTTTGAGGCCACCTTTGCAATTTGTAGAGTGGACATTTGAACGTTGTCGGAGGGAAGCTTTGTTTTCAGACCTTAACTGCTAACAGAGCAGACCAGACACAGGAATATGATCCTTACCTCATTCGACTTTCTTAATCTTTGTGTGGCTGCATCTAATTGGATGAATCTAGCTGCAAGGGAGTCTGTAAATGTAGTTTTCCTTCCTATTTCTGTAAACGGGAAGGGGAGGATGGAGATTGGGAGGGCCAATCCAAAGTAACCAAAAGAAAACTTAAGTGGATTCTCCTTAAGAGATCTTTTTCTGGTACTGGGTATCATGTGTAATCATGCAGTTACATTTTTGACTGGCTATGTAAATTAGAAAGGTTAAAAAAAAAATCCCAGGAATCTTCACAGTCACTAGTATTATGACCTCTGCTACCACTAACTTGGGTGCCACGTGGAACTAGCTGGCCTGTGATGTGGGGCAGAAATCCATGTAGAAAGAGGTGTGATAATTGTTACTGTGCTAGGCCATTATTAAGATCATTTTCTTTTTATTACTATTGTTATTTTTTATATTTTTAGAGGCAGAGTCTCACTCTGTCTCCCAGGCTGGACTTCCGGGCTCAAGTGCTCCTCCAGCCTCAGCCTCCCAAGTAGCTAGGACTACAGGCACACACCAACACACCTGGCTATTTTTTTTTTTTTTTTCATTTTGTAGAGATGAAGTCTTGTTATGTTGCCCAGGCTGCTCTCGAACTCCTGGCTTCAAGTGATCCTCCCACTTCAGCCTCGGAAAGTGCTAGGATTACAGGCATGACCACTGTGCCTGATCAGAATCACTTTTTCCTCTGTGTGTGTGTGTGTTTATATAATAATATCCTTTAATTTTATGCTATTTTCATTATATTCAAATTTATGATGAAAAGAGCTGACCTAGGCAATAACATTTACAAACCGAGTTTTGGAAAACTCTTCCAGAATCTACTTCTTACATGCTATTTATCAACTAACTTTTTATATAATCATCATTCATGGGAAAAAGAAAACCATAGTTATGTACCAGCATAACTCAAGAAATACTTTTCAATGATTAAAGGTCACCTTTAAGAGTATGCTGGAAAAACGAAAATGATCTGTGCATTTTACTAATCCAGTCAGAAATACTGACTAATTGTACTCCTGGTTAAGATAAATTTGGGTGCTGGCTTTTTGGCTTCTGGTTTCTTCTTGTACTTACTAGCATCATACAATTGGAGAGTGGAATTAAGTATAGTGGCCATACAGGATGTTAAAAATGGTTATGTTCTATTGTGGAAGACAGTGTGGTGATTCCTAGATCTAGAACCAGAAATAGCATTTGACCCAGCAACCCCATTACTGGATATATACCCAAAGGGATATACATCATTCTATTATAAAGATACATTCACACATGTGTTCATTGCAGCACTAGTCATAATAGCAAAGACATGGAGTCAACCCAGTTGCCCATCAGTGATAGACTGGATAAGGAAAAATGTGGTACGTATACACCATGGAATACTATGCAGACACAAAAAGGAATGAGATCATGTCCTTTGCAGTGACATGAATGGAGCTGGAAGCCGTTATCCTCAGCAAACTCACACACGAATAGAAAATCAAACACTGCATGTTTTCACTTAAAAGTGGGAGCTGAATAGTGAGAACCCATAGACACAGGTGGGGAACAAGGCACAGAGGGGCCTGTTAGGAGGAGTAAGGGGAGGGAGAGCATCAGGATAAGTAGCTAATGCATGCTGGGAATAATGCATAGGTGATAGGTTGATGGGTACAGCAAACCACCATGGCCCATGTTTACCTATGGAACAAACATGCATGTCCTGCACATGTATCCTGGGACTTAAGATAAGAATTAAATAATAAAAAAAGGTTTTTTTTTTCACTATGGGCTACTTAAAAACTACACGGCAATATAGTTTTTCCCAAACTATGCATTACAAATACCTTAGTCTTTTGTGTAGACATTGGTGAAAAATAATGAGCTTTTAAGGGGTGTACATGTGCAGGTATATATGCCTGAATAGCATATAAATTCTCAAAAATCTTGCCTATTTGAAGTGTGTTACATTCCTTTATTAGTTGAAAAGTCAGTATTTTTCAGTTTCCTTTCATAGTAAGGGCTACTTCTTTTTTTTATCAATAGAAAATTAAGGAAATCAACCACTTGTAGGTGTTGTGTCTCTAAATTACTGGTTGTCTTCAGCTGTCAGCAAACATCACGATTGACCTTCAGCAAGTTCAATGTTGTAGCAAAAGATATAGTTTCCAAGGAAGAAGTAACAGAGGTTAGGAATAAGACTGCTAAATTTAGGAGGGTGCAGTGGTGTGTGCCTGTAGTCCTAGCTACTTGGGTTGCTGAGCTGGGAGGGTCGCTTAAACCCAGGAGTTGGAGGCCAGCCTGGGCAATGTAGCAAGACTCCATTGTGGAAAAAAGGAAGGACTATTAAGTTTATATTTCCAGGCCATGTGCGGTGGCTCACACCCATAATCCCAGCACTTTGGGAGGCCGAGGTGGGTGGATCACCTGAGGTCAGGAGTTTGAGACCAGTCTGGCCAACATGGTGAAACCCTGTCTCTGCTGAAAATACAAAAATTAGCCGGCCGTGGTGGCACATGCCTGTAGTCCCAGCTACTCAGGAGGCTGAGGCAGGAGAATTGCATGAATCTGCGAGGCAGAGGTTGCAGTGAGCTGAGATCGCTCTATTGCACTCCAGCCTGGCGAAAAGAGCGAAACTCCGTTGCAAAAAAAAAAGAAAAAAGTTTACGTTTCCTTCATGGAGATGGGGGGAGAAAAGTTGCTCTAAAGATTTTTATCACATCTATCATAGCACCCACAAACGCCTCATTTGTAGTAAATACCCTTTTCTGTCTTGTCCGTCTGCATTTTTTCCACTGCAAATGGGTTGGATGTCTGTTTAGATTTAATAAAGATGTTTGCTTTTCACTTTGTGGAGGTATTTCTTGGATCCAGAGTTTAACCTTAGCAAGTAAGGTAAGAGTTTAGTTTTATACTTAATATTATCTTTATATTACCTGTTAATTATTCTTCCACAATATGTAAAAATCAAGTCTTAGAGCATAAGTGTCAGCCTCCCAGGTGGGTAAGAAGCATTTGCATGTGGACCTATGGCTCTTTACCACGCCCAATGGGGATCATCTGGAACACTCTGGAACACTCTGCAGTGTTGCAGGAAACCCTGGAACACTCTGAAGAAATAGTTCTCAACACAAGAAGTCTCTCATCCTCTCTTTCCCTTTCATTCCAGCCTTGAGTGAGCCAATCCCCATCTGTATGAGCAGTTGTCTGACACTGCAGTTTCCACAAGGCTGGGGCTTGTCTTCCTATTTTTGTTTGTGTTCCTTTCTCTTTATCAATTCCTTCTTCCTCCCTTTTCATCTGTTATTCATTTAAATTTACCCTTAAGAAGGCAATGCCCTTCTTTCTACTCAAAACATTTTTTTTTTTTTTTCTTGAAGGGTTCCTGGTTGATTGTAAGTTTTAGGAAAGGAAGACACCACTTAGATGTCAGAGTGCCCCCATATGTTGGTCAGTTGAGATCAGGACCTTTTTTTTTTTTTTTTGAGACAGGGTCTCACTCTGTTTCCCAGGCGGGAGTGCACTGCAGTGGCATGTGATCATAGATTGCTGCAACCTCGAACTCCAGGGCTCAAACTGTCCTTCCGTCTCAGCCTCCCAAGTAACTGTGACTACAGACATGTGACACTGTGCTCAGCTACTTTTTTTTTTTTTTTTTTAATTTTTAGTAGATATGCAGTCTTGCTATGTTGCTCAGGCTGGTCTTGAACTCCTGATCTCAAGTGATCCTCCCACCTCAGCCTCATGAAGTGCTGGAATTACAGGCGTGAGCCACCATGTCTGGCCATCAGCCATCTTTATAAATTGTGGAGAACTGTCAGTTATCACTTCCTGAAATACCCTAGGTAAAATATTAAAGTCCTAGTAAACGTGATATAAATGGTATGGCACATGCTGGTAAGGCACTTACCTTGCCCATATGGATATCAAAAATATTTTATATATTCGTATTGAATACTCATTCAGTGATCACTTTTAAAAAGCAGTGGCTGCCTTTAAATTTCAGGATTACCTTTAAAATGTTTTTAGGGGACAGCCTAGAAACAAATGTTCCTAGGCTGGAAAGAAGGCTGTCTTAGAAATAAACTGGTTTATCACTCAGAACTTTCTTCCCTATTCTCAGTGGTCTATTTGTCCTCAATGACATCATTTGAAAATGAGACAGATACGGACTTAGGATTCTGTGGTAAGTCATGTGTGTTAACCACTTTGAAATCTCAGGGTGCAAGCCAGGGGACACATAGAAATATTAATACCATCTTTCTGTCACGGGGTCTTTCTGGAAGTATGACAACAAACAGATATAATTTTGCTTACTTTTTTGATACTTGAATTTTTCCTTATTTCATACTTAACTATGTCTGTCCTTGTTGCCCTTCAGGAAGTTGTTGACATGAAGTCTGAGGGACAGGCCAATGTAATTCAGCAGCTGGAACAGACTATTGAGGATCTGAGAACCAAAATAGCTGAACTAGAGAGGCAGTATCCTGCCCTGGACACAGAGGTGGCCAGTGGTCGTCCAGGGCTTGGGAATGGAGTGACAGCCTCAGGCGATGTCTGTCTCGAAGCTCTCAGGTTAGAAGAAAAGGAAGGACGGCATCAAAGGATTTTAGAGGCGAAATCCATACAGACTTCCCCGACAGAAGAGGGCGGGGTACTGACACTGCCTCCTGTGGGTGCGCTGGGGCATCCTCCATGCCCGCCTGGGGCTGAAAGTGGACCTCAGACAAAGTTCTGTTCAGAGATTTCTTTGATTGTGTCTCCAAGGCGAATATCAGTCCAGCTCGACAGCCATCAGCCCACACAGAGCATCTCACAGCCTCCACCACCTCCATCCCTTCTGTGGTCTGCTGGTCAAGGACAGCCTGGGTCACAGCCGCCCCATTCTTCTCTTTCTACCGAGTTTGAAACCAGCCATGAACACTCTGTTTCCTCCGCCTTTAAAAACAGCTGTAACATCCCATCTCCACCACCTCTGCCTTGCACAGAGTCCTCCAGCTCCATGCCTGGCCTGGGCATGGTGCCTCCCCCACCTCCCCCTCTCCCTGGCATGACAGTGCCTACTCTGCCCAGTACAGCCATTCCCCCACCTCCTCCTCTGCCGGGTACAGAAATGCTGCCACCGCCTCCCCCTCCTCTTCCTGGAGTGGGCATACCTCCTCCGCCCCCTCTACCCGGAGCGGGCATACCCCCTCCGCCCCC